AGAGACTGTATCAGGTGACTGAAGCGAGAGTGGCATGTGTCATCGCTATCTGAACCCCGGACCTCTCAGCGCCAGGTGTGTGCTTCTGTCAGTGTGTGTGTTACTTCTTAATCCCCTTGCTGCCATTTCCTCCTGCGAGGGGAAACTCTATCTCAGAGGAACAAGTGAGGCTGAGAGAAAAAAGACGACCATGCGCTACTTACAGATTATACTAGAGGATTAAAGATTAAATTACCCCGCTGCCCACACTGCTGCGGTGTGAGTATGATGAGATCAGAGAGCAGTTGTTGTTTCGCATGTATCGTGTTACAGTGTGTTGGCATATTTGCATAGTCTTAGTCTTGTTGTGGGGACATGATCTGTTTACAGACATGTCTTCTGGGGACCTGCCTCCTATTTGGACACCAAGGCAAAAGCCTGATTTAGGGTCAGTGAAGAGGGCAGGAAACAGTAGTTTGTCAAGAAAAAGCAACTTTGAATTATTTAGCATTTCCAATATGCCTGCGGACTTCCAAACCCCAGACTAAGGCTTGTGGCATCCTGAAAAACATGAATATTCGAAAATGAAAAATCAAAGGAAACTGGATATTATCACGAGGCTACTGAATACCTCCAAGGGATACAGGATACATAGATGATGAACAAGCCAGACCCGTGAAAGCCTCAGTGAGTCACTTTTGGAGTGATGAATGTCTTTTCCAAATAAAAGACTGAAGAAACCCATTTAAGTATGTAGTAGGCAGGTTACAGGATTCCTGTTTCCCAACGGACTCAGAAGAGTGAGTCTGATCAAGAGAAGGAAACATTAACATGCAACTCAGCTGGTGAGAGGACACCTCACTCATGCAGAACTTTCCCCTAGATTGTAAATTAAGGTGACGCTGTCCCATCAGTCACTGCCGAGTGTCTTGTCCTATTCGACGGTCAAAGTGACAGCCTGACACACATAAAAGAGCAGCGGAACTCTGTCAGAACAGATTTTAGTAGCCTTACTTCCTCCCCGACGCTAAACTCTGACCACAGTTTATCGCCTGGGAGACTCTCTCACGACTATAAATGAAACAAAATGGTATGTCGTTGTTGCTGTGCCTTATTCTGAACTCCAGAAGAGGATACAGAGCGTAACCCCCCCCCGCCTTCACCATCCACTCGTCACTAAAAAGGCTCAGGTGTGTAGAAGTGAAGAGCGTATGTGCCTTTTTTTTTTTTACTTCTGGGAGTCAGTTATACTGCACTTCGTGATCCTTCACCTGCTTCCCACTGCAGAAAAGTCTGTAGCTCAAATCCCTGCAGCTGCAGACGAGGCCTATAGAACATGGGATATTAATACACCAGTGATCCTACAGGGAGGAGAACCCGTCTCACCACCTTCATCTGCTTCTTAAACATTCCTTCTTCACAGAAAGAGAGTAGTAGAGAGGCAAAGAGCGGGAGGATTTGCTGATGGCAGCATTAGACATCACACTGCATTATTATTATGCAGAGAAACACACACATTAGCATAACAAGCCTCCGCGTGTGTGTGTATCTAAGTAGGTCACATTCAGATCCTTCTTCATCCAAAATGAACACAAACACACACACACACACACACACAACAGACCAATCAGGGATATGAAAGCAGACAGGAGCGCTCCTGTCTTAGTCCCCATAGAAAACAGTACAAAAAAGTAGAAAGAAAAAAAACACAGAGGGAGAGCATTCACCAATGATTACCCAAAGTGGAAATTTAATTAGAAAAAACCGTGACGCCGTATAGGAGATTTTATAAAACATATTGATAACAACTTGTTTTCTGGTCACAATAAACATCATGGGTGCAGGAATGTGTCTCCTCACAGGACATCTTCAGTACTTACACTACGAATTACTAAAAAGGTCAACAAAAATGCGCCAAATCTGTAATATGATGGGGGAAAAAAACACACCAGACAATCCCCCATGGGATTCCTGTGTTTGTCTGCTGTGTTTGTCTTGATACGCCGTGTTTGTTTTCTCCAAATGTGGTGCTCTGCATCATGACAAAACATATTCCAAGGTCATTATCCCAGATGTCTTGCGGTTTGTTCAAATGTAAGAAGCTCTCTCTTGAAAATGCTTCAAAACAAGTGACCTTTGACTCTGTACCGTCATGAACTTTAACATTTAACATGCAAATTCAGACCCGTCTAGTCTGAACTGTAGTGCTTGTGCTTTTTTCCCACTTTTCTGAGCACTGCACCATATCATCTTGGGTTCAAGTCGCTGGAACATCCCCTTTTGAATATTAGTAACTGTCTTGTAGGTTTTCCTCTCATGACTAATCTGTCTCAATTCAAAGGGATGGACTCAAAACAACTTAGAAAAATGGCCGTATTATTTCACAATGTCCAAAGTAATGGGAGACTACAAGGTCATTACTTTAATAGGCACATTAAATCAATAACATCAGCAGCCTTTTAGCTTCTCAAAGACATTGCCATAATCAGAGGAACAGTGTCTAGACCAGACTAATCCATGTGTTTGTCTCTTGCAGGTTAGACTACTGTAACGGCCTGCTCACTGGGCTTTAAACCAGCTGTATGACATCTTCACAAGATCCAGAATGCTGCTGCTAGAGTTCTGACCAGAACCAGGAAATACGACCATATCCGTCCAGAGCTCAGGTCTCTGCTCTGGCTTCCTGTCACTCAGAAAAGAGACTTTTAAAAAGCTCTGCTTGTGTTCAAGTCTCTTCATGGTCACGCACCAACATTTCTGACATGTTAGAGCCCTATGAACCAGCTCGGATTGTGAGAACATCAGGTTTTGGTCTCCTGCTGGTGCCCTGAGTCAGAACTAAACAAGGAGAGGGTTCATTTAAGTTTCATGCTCCTTAAATCTGGAACAGTCTTCCAGAGGAGGTGAGACAGGCCTCCACTCCTTTACAATCTTCTGTTTAACTGTGTTAACGGGACGATTCTGAGCCACAAGCCACGACTCCTCTCTCCCCGAATCCATCCCCATCTTTTTTTTAAAGTTTGTATTCTGTCAGATCTGTTCTGAGAATATCAGAAAGGTGCCCAGTTTTTAAGCTGTGAAAGCATCGAGGGACTCATTTTTTAGTCCCTCGATGAAACTGAATGTATTTTATTTCGCTTAACTTTTTATCTTTCTAATCTATGTTGTTGATTCATTTTCTTTGTTTGTTTTCCTTTTAAATTTTTTGTGAAGAACTTTGAATTGTCTTATACACAAAATGTGCTGCACAAATAAATTTGCCTTGCCTTGCCTTGCCTTACTGATGTCTTTTTTCTTTGGCCTTGTCTTAACACACAGCAGGCTGTTCCAGACCACTGAACTGACAGAAACCACAGGGTTTTTTTAATAAGGATGTCCTGCGAATAGCCTGTTCCCTTCTCCAAAAACAGAAAAAGAAAAAGGGAAACACTAAGAAGCTATTAATGCTGTGTGGGTGCGTTACCACTGTAACACCTATTACTTTTAGCTCGGGGTTAGGATTCAGTCTGAAATCTGAGTACAAACACAGGAGACTGAAATGCAATGAGGAAATTATATTCTTTCAAAAGTTATTGAGACATCACTCCATTCTAAAGGTAAAAAGTATATACAGTATATAATTAAACTAAACGGTATAGCTGGTTTAGATTTTTAAAAAGGTTGCATAGTGGAGGCATTGTCAGTGATTAAAGGGCTCATCTTCAAATTTGACTCTTTTGTAGTTGCAACGATTTCAACTGCAATTTTTCTAATAAAGAGTTTTGTTGTCAGCCACGTAAACAAATGGGGTACTGCCAAAAGAGGCAAATCACGTTTGATAAAAGGAGACAAGCTCGGAACATGGGAGCCCGCTGTGAGTGTTTTTCTGTGTCTTCCACTGCAGTGATGAGCAGCAGTGTGTGGGTAATCACAGCAGTCACGCTCCTATAATGAGAGGAATTTCAGACAGGCAAACAGGAAGAAGCAAAAAATATTCAATGGTCCAGTTGGGGCCATTCTTCTATCTCTTGAAATTTCACGTGGTGTCCAAAAGTTTTCCGAGCCGTGTGAGGATTGAGAATCTACGGCGTTCATTCAGCCGCTGACATTTCGGGAAAAACATCCTTCCCTAAGTGAGCGGAGGCAGTCGGATTTTCAGGTCAAGCACATATAAGAAGATCTCAGCAAGTGGGGAACGAGGCAGGGAAAGCCGCAGTCCCTGTTTGTTTGATCTGAAAAAAGATCTGTTTTTGTTTGTTTGTTTGTTTTGTTTTTATATTGAATATCCACAGCAGGAACATTTCACACACAAAATAACCAGATAGAAAGTCATTAACTTAATGTTTAGACTTTACGCAGCAGCAATATGAAGTTCACATTTGTGTTCGTTTGGCATTATATTTGATGATCGCAAAATGTTTTATGTGTGTTTTATGACACCACCATGTAATGTGAGCTCGATTTTTAAAACAATCCACTAAACACATGGCAGTGAAAATTGCTCTGTTGTCACAACCAGTTTTCTTCAGCTGTCATTACATTCCCCCTCAAACAGTCAACCAGACACTTCTCTATCAGACATGTGAGCCTTTATCTAGATTTTCGGCTATTTCAAATCAAAGTTTTTGCATTTAAAAAAAAAAAAAAACTAAGCAATAGGTAGTCAAAATTACACTGACAATAGTAACATGTAATAGACAGATGTGTTAATCCATTTATGTGCATAGCCATCCTAACATCACATGAATTCTCCTCTGATCCTGCAGTAATTTTGCATTTTGAACAACGATACTTCAAACTGTGGATTCACAATTTTTTAGAATGACAGACAGGCAGCACATAACTTGTCTACAAGGTTCACATCAAGGTTATGGCCCTTGGGGCTCACAATGCTCAACCCTCACTTTACAAACAACAATAACATGCCCAACATGAGGAAGAAAACAGAGGACAAAATAACAAAGCCAGGCAACAATTATGCCACCAGGGACCAAGGGACTGATTGTTGAGCTCCAGTGGAAATAAAAGTAAGAATTTCCTACCTCGACTGAGAAAACCACTCCACATCATGGACCGTAGGACGGCTGTCTCACCCCCTCCGCCTCCTCCTCCTCGGTTCTATCATCTGCTACCTCGATAACTAAAATCATCGAAGGTAATACCCAAAACAAACAGCGGAAGGCTGCGGTTTAACTGCGTGTGAGACCCATGTGAGAGGAGGCTAAGGCGACCCACTCACAGCCACACAGAGACGGAGTGTACAGTGGGTGTGAATCACTGAGGTGATGCTATTCAGGGTAAACAGTGGTGACAGCCCCTCCGTCCTCAAAGGAAATCCCTCTTCCTCGCTCTCTCCGTCTGTTTGACTCATTTGCTTGCAGCCAGTTCATCTCGTCGCAACGAAAAGGGAAACTAGAGGAAACCTACAATAATTGTAAGCCAATAAGACAAAAACTCTAAATCTGAATTTTTACAAACACTTCAGCTTTTGACAGCCTCCTCCTATTGCATAATATTTTTAAAAAACATGGAATTTCAACACTTGAAGGCTGTTTAATAGGCAGATTTGCAGAGAGAAAAAAAATAAAAAATGACCAAAACACAGAGGTATACACATTAGGCTCCCGATTCTGGGTTTCTATTCTATTTACACAAAAATACACATTTTTAATCTCATTTCATTCAGACCTGTGTCTTCCTGTGGTTAATCTGTATGTTTCTTATTTTTTCCCGTTTGCTTCAGAATTTCAGAGAACAACCAGCATTTTTGCTAAACTGAATCAAATTACCCTATGAGGGCGTTTCTAATCCTTCTCATTATATCCATAGCCTTCGTGTTTGAACCACGCATCCTGCAAAACCTTGGTAAGCTCCGCATTCATTTGCATGGTAAATAATTTACTCTCATATATTTTAGAAGTACTAAATGCACACTTATTCAATATTTTTCCTCTATATTGATTTTGTCAACTAAGATTTAGAAAGAAAAAGGATAAACAGAAATCTCTTTTTTTTCCCTTAATCAACTGAAACAACAGTAACATCATATTTTTCCAAACAAATGGTATGAACCCGGATTAACCAATCAGGGAGTCACTCTGTGTATAAGTACACTTAAATCCCCTTACTTGCATATAAAGCGGAAAAGTAACCGCAAACTAAAAATACAGAAATATATTTCAACAAATTATACACAGCTAGCTAAAAATAAACCTAATAAATAAGACTATGAGAATCGATGTAGGTCTACTTAAAAAAATTGATTGAATCTAGGGATAACGGAAAAATTTAATTAGTGCATTTATAAATCAATTAAATAAACCAATAATCCAATGAAGAGTAAGTAAGAAGTGGCATTATAAGATAATCAATGACGGAATGATAGTTCCCCATTCGTATCCTGTGAATTTTAATTGGCTTTATTTCACCTGCATTTATTGGAATAATAATTGATTCATCAAAGCACATATATTCATATTTATTCTGCATTATGGCAGCTTCAGTTCTTCCAAACCATGAGCCTGTTGTCATCGCTGGACGACACTACGACTGCAGGGATCCGTCAGCAGGATCTATTCATATTCCAGCAAATACATCAACGAAAGACCACACGTCAACACTCGCTCAGTCCATCCCATTTGACACACATGCATACCGGAGCAATTTGTTTCTATTAATAACTGTCTATTTCACAGCTCATTATGAATGTGGGATAAAGAAGACAACAAGCTGACCTTATCAACCCAGGAGAGCTAATTAGCTCCAGCTTATTTACTCAAACAGTCCCATAAAAAGAGAAAAAAGAAAAAAGGTGAGCTGACATTTCCACTATAAGAAAGAGGCTTACAATCAAGAAAGAGGAGGTATTTTCGGGGAGGAGGAGATGGGGGGACATTAAATTAACGCAAGACTGGTAAACAGGTGAAAAGAGTGAAGAGGTGGGGGAAGTAAGTGGGGACAGAAGGGAAATATTGCAAACATCATCAGTCTCATGTGAGATAAACCCTTTCTTTGTAGTGACCATGTGGATCATGGGAATTCACTTGTCTCATTAGTCTCTGAGTCTGAGCTTGGATAACATGAATAAGAGTGTGTAGTGCCTCATGGTGGTCACCGAGGGGAAAACGAGTACGTTTTTTCAGAGAGAAGGCTCCATTATTTACAGAATAGGCCCACTTTCAAGTAAATACAGGCTCAGTTATTCTTAGTTTAACTTCTGAGTGTTTTATCTTCAGTATTTAGAGGGCAGTATTCATGAAATTAACTGGAGAAATAGCTTTTTTAAATATTCTTAACCAAACACCAAACAACATAAATGTTCCGACTGCAACTGACATACAGTAGTTGTCTCTTATATTCTTTTAATGGCTTAAAAAATATTTGTTGTTTGTGTTGGCATGCTTTTCTTCCTGTACTAAAGCTACAAATGTTTCTAATGACTTACAAGTGGCTTTGGATGAAAGTGCAGAAGAATTCCTCAATCAAACGTTATAAGGTTACATTTTATCATGTTTGGTACTCGGTATGTTGGTTTCACATATTGTTGCTCATTTCTAAAGGGAGTTACACTTTCTGCTACCGTGTTGTCTGATGTGGGACTGCACGTAATAGATATTTTATGTTGGAAATTACAAATGTAGAACATCATTAGTTGGTTTGATTTGACTGTTGTGATCGTGAATGTTTTCATTTTCTTATGACGAGAATCCTAACCAGTCAAGCTAAAGCTAACCATGCGTGCAGCTGCAGCTTGGCTAAATTAAGGACGACGTTTACACTTCAAACACAAAGAATGGGCTTTCTACTTTGTCGAACATCTGCTCGTGCGTCATACTGGAAATCACATTATGTAGTGATTGAGCCACATGGCAAACGAGCCAGATGATCATGCACACTCGCACTCACTTCTGAGGTCAACCTGGAGTTACCGAATAACCCGACGTGCGTGTTTTTTTGGATGGCGGGAGAAAACAGGAGTATTGGATTGACATGTCTACCGAAGGACAAATGTGTATGTTTGTGATGTCATCTGACCTGACTGCTGATAGGCTGCTCAGCCAGGTCACTGTCACACGCATGCTGTCTCTCCGGCACATGCACTCACACACAAACACACTGGCCTGCTGAAGCACTGTGTTCAGGCCAAAGAGCTTTTCATGGCAGAGCAGGCAACATGTAACAGGCAGACAGAAAGGGGAAGACATGCTCACTCAGTTTTCTGTGTGTATGTGTGTGTGTGGGTGTGCATGTTTGTGAGCGTGTGTGTGCATGCACGTGGGTCCAGCAGAGAGATTTAATCTTTAATCAGCGTTACTGTAGCCTGCACACTAATATGCACACACTGTATGTAATTACAGCTGCTGCTTGCACACAAGCTCTCTTACACAAGTGTGCAATTGTGATAGTGTAAGATTGCCCTTTTCTTTCCTCTGAAATGTACCTTGGTCAGGTTTCAGGGCTCTTTTTGAAGGTGGAAAAAAGCTTACGGTGGTGCTTCAAAACGCAACATTTCCGATGAAAGATAAGCATTTTGGTTTTGATCGACCGTGGAACGTATAAGAAGATTATGAAAAAAGATGTCACGACAACAGATTTGCGTGGAACCCAGTACTTTATCGGACTAATTACAAATGTTAACAGCGAGCTCAAGAAGTGTCAGCGCAGTGCTGTGTCCCAGTTATATGACCTGCTGCTGCCTGCTCCACTTTAACTCCTTAACATTTCACAGCATGATCTCACTCTGGTGACCAGCAGTTTGACTCAAAAGAACTGGATCTGAATTGCTGATGATGCTCCGAGGCTGTTGAAGTCACATCCAGCCAAGGGATAGAAGAGGACTTGGAAATGTGATGTGCGTCAGATGGAAATTTACCAACCACTGACACTAATGGTGCTACAGTTGTTAAGTATATGGACAGTATATAGGATGAAAAAGCATCCTTGAAAAAGAAATTAAGTCAATACAAAATATCTATAGGGATTGGCACTTAAATTCTATCAATTTGAAAAGAAGATCTAACAACTGGTGCTTGAGAGATCAAAGTCATGGCAATCCATCAAGTTCCTTAAATGTTTTAGTCGGGATCAAAGCAGTGATACTAATTCAGCATAGATGAATAATATGCGTATTGATGCACCATGTGAGGGCTTGATATAGCAGCAGCAATAACAGAACTAACAGCAGGAAAGAGACGGAACGAAAATGTTTAAACATTCATAAACATCACCGTCAATCTGAGAGCACAGCACCCTGACTGACGGGCGAGCCAAGAATAAGTGCAGTGATGATCTGAGTTAATGCAGGGATGGTTTTTCCCTTTAAACCTACAATCTGAGATCCAACACACACACACACATACATTCTGACCTCTCCCAAGGGGGCAACAGCTGTTGGAGATGGATGAGCCAAAGTCGATCTCACTCTACAGACTCCTGTTTAGCTCTTAATGTCCCTCTGGTTACCATGACAACTTGAATGCCTATTAACGAAGGCTTCTGGTTTGACCACTTTTTAGCCGCGGCCTTTGACACAGAACGTTTCCCGAGGCCGTCGGCCCTCAAGGCTGCGGGCTGGGAGCGTGTTCCATGTGGAGCTGTGCTCCTACCTGCTGTGGCGCTGTAAGGAGCACTGATGGCTGGACTCAGGCCAACGGTCGGGGTTAGTCCTGCAGACTGGGATCTGAGCCCTGAGGCGGGAGGTAGCGACCTGGTATGAGCCCCTGTTGGAATCAAAGTTAAGAGGTTCATTCAGAGCACGCACCGAGCCGGCAGCAACAGCACTCAGATGCCACCGGCGACGATGAGGCCATCTCACGGTAATTGCCCTGCGCGGTAACGCACCTGCTCCCGTTTGTCCCGGCTCTCCAGACCGGAGCTGTCTCACTCTCCGGAGGTGAGACCTGCCGTTGTAATGCAGCTGGACCTGGGCAGCTGAGGTCAGCTGCAGGTTGCACACTTCACAGAACGAGTAAGCCCCACCCTGACCTGGGACAACAGCGTGCAGATCAAGGTGCATGCAAAGGAAACGTGAGGAGGTTTAACACATCCCTGGGGCTTGGAGAGGTTCAGTT